AGTGCTCCATGCAGAATGTGCCCTCTTTAATACCCATCACCAGGCTAACCCATCCCCCTACCCTCCTCCCCTCTAGAACCCTCAGTTTGTTTTTCAGAGTCCATCATCTCTCATGGTTCATCTCCCCCTCCAATTCCCCCCTTTCATTCTTCCCCTCCTGCTATCTTCTTCTTTTTTTTTTCTTAACATATATTGCATTATTTGTTTCAGAGGTACAGATCTGTGATTCAACAGTCTTGCACAATTCACGGCGCTCACCATAGCACATACCCTCCCCAATGTCTATCACCCAGCCACCCTTGAAAATGTTTTAATAAAGGAACACTGAACAGAGGTGTGGGCAGATCTTTCTAATGAGCTCTCACAGCATACATCTAGATCTTCTCTCTTTACAGTTTCCTAAGTTCATTTAGATCAAATGTATAAGTCATCCTGATCATCCTGATTGAAAGATGGCAGGTTTTTTTCATTTGTCTTTTCTTAGTTTCTTGCTTCTCAACTCTTTTTACATCAAGCCAAGCTTAGGAATGGAGGAAAATGGATAAGCCTTCTTCCCAGCCTGCACTACCTCCCAGACTGAGAAGATTAATTTCTCGGCATAACCAACTAATTGGGAAGTTGTGCCCCAGGCCTATTTCTCATTTTCTTGATTTTCTTCAAATAACATTTTTCTTTGTATACCAAGCTTTTTCGATTATGTTCTATCTCCTCTCCAAAATCACATATTCTCTATCCTTTCTATCACCAACCAGATGCCTCAAAGAAATGACTTTGAGTAAACCATCAGACTGGCTAAAACTTGATCTTTTTTTTTCTAAGATTTTATTTATTTATTTGACAGACAGAGACACAGAGAGAGAGGGAACACAAGCAGGGGGAGTGGGAGAGGGAGAAGCAGGCTCCCCTCTGAGTAGGGAGCCTGATGCAGGGCTTGATCCCAGGACCCTTAAAGACCGAGCCACCCAGGGGCCCCTAAACCTTGATCTTATCATGAGGAATATTCCTTCCCTTCTGAAATCTGAAACTTGGAGCTCTCTGGTACTTTTTTCAGTGCCCTTACAATCCACCCTTTTTATTCATAAATTGGCTTTTTTTTTCTTACTAGAAACTGCCAGGGAAATGCATTGTCCCTTCAAAAATGTCTCCTCTCTCTTCAATATTAGTTATTAATACCACTCCCCAAAACCAGACTTGAAATCTTGAAGCAGTTTTAAAAAGTTTAAACTTTTTAACTTCTTCCTCGATACCCTATTTATTTACTCAATTGCATAGGCATCATGGATCTGCTCCCAGGGCGTTTCCCATCCATTTCTTTCTTTCTACTCTCTCTCTCTCTCTCTGCTTCTTTAGTGCTTGCCCCTCTTTCCAGCATCCTCTCCATTCTGGATTTTATTTTATTTTTATTTTTGGGGGGGAGGGGCAGAGAGCAAGGGAGAGAGAGAGAGAATCTTAAGCAGGCTCCAGCCCCAGTGCAAAGCCTAACGCAAGGCTCGATCTCACGAGCCTGAGATCATGACCTAAACTGAAATCAAGAGTCCAGTGCTTTACCAACTGAGTCACCCAGGCGCCCCCGCCCATTCTGGATTTTAAACATTAAATATTCATACCTCTGAGTGGTTTGTTTGCCTTTCAGGATTAGGACTTAAAAAAGTAACTTAGAGTAATGTAGGAACTTTTTAAAGACTGGCACTTTAGAGTTTATTCGGTGCAACCGTAAGAACTTGTCACAGCCATGCCATCTTGTAATTAAAAGTTTGTTATTTTTGAAGTACCGCAAGAGGATAATAAAATGTTAGAGCAAACATGTATTCACTTGGATAAATACTGGGTTTAGATGGAATATTCTTAAAAACTCTTCCTTCTAAATTAATCTTTTGATCTACTTTTTTTTCCTCTTGTGCACTGGTTATGATAAAGTGAAACTTTAAATATAGTTTCTTTTGTGGTGAGTTCCTTTGCTTAGCATGTAGAGTTAACAAGGCTAAGGACACTGGTCTGATTTCCTGATGAATCAGTTATCATCCTGCTTAGTCTGTAGTCACAGACTGTCCTTCAAATCATGGCCAACCATTTCATAAATGTTAGTGATGAATAAGACAGAGAAGGGGATTCAGAATGTCTTGGGAGCAATTCATTCTGAAACAAGTTAAGGCACATCCTCTACCAGAAATGGTTTAGTAATTTTGTCCTGTTTCATATACAAGTGATATACATACTCATAATAATATACAAGTATTTAATTTCCATAGTTTGTTGCAGATTGCATCTCTCTGGCTCCCAACAGTGTTAGCTGCTATAGTTTTCCATCTCCTTTCTCTGGTCTTTAAACTGGATGGCTTATTGAATTTACCAGAAGAAGTGTGTTGAGATGAAAAGGACACGGTTTTTGGAGTCAGATCTTGTGATCTACTTCTGTCACTCATTAGTTGTGTGCTCTTGGTTAAGTTTCTTCATCTCCACATTTCTGTTTCTTCTGAAAACATACCTACTTTATATGGTGGTAAGAATTTAAAAAGATAATGTCCGTAAGTCACGAAGAACTTAGTCCACATTGAATGCTCAAGTTCTCTACTTTTCTTTGTGATATGTAAATAAATGTAATCAATTGGTTTGGCAAGTTCGTATGGCTACCATTTATTCAACATCTACTTGGTGTCAAGCATGCTGCCAGGTGCTTTATATATATTATCTCTACTCCTCACAATAACCTCAAAAAGCTATTTATAATTATTTCTTAAGGATGAGGGAACTGAGATTAGTTGCTGCTGTCTGGGATGCATGGTTCTCACCTAAGTACATTATACAGTAAATTGGGGACAGAGGGATATTTCTAGGGAAGAGGTTTTCAAGCATTTTAGTTTAATAATTACCTGGAGTTGGGGAGGGAGTGTTTTTTAAAAAGCCAGATTCCTAGGGCCCACCTGCAAGGATCCTGGGTCTGGGTAGGGTCCAGGAAAACACAATTTGAACAAGCTGCGTATGTTATTTTGATGCAGCTGTTTTTCTGGAGGACACTTGGATAAATGTATCTGCATCATACCTTAATTTCGTTTTCTCATTCTTACCCTCCTTTAAACCACGAGAGGAGGAGGACCATTTAGAGGCCGGCTAGCACCTATATGCTAAAATATGAATTTGCTAAGGAAACAACACTCCTCTTACTCTCAGCTCTTCAAGGTGCTTACCCTCTGGTGAAATCTCCTTCTACCACCTGCAATTCTTGATGTCTTCATCAACCTTGTTGGTCTAGGTTCATTTTAACTGTCTCAACAATAAACATAAAGAGGAGCAGAGATGGGACCTTTACAGGCCATTGCCCTGTGGAACTGTCACAAACTGTAATTTCTTGCAACCTCAATTTTCTTAGCTATGAATGGGGATGACCTTTGTCTTATAAAGTTATTGTAAGGATTGCCACACTGGCACTTGGTAGGTATTTGTAAATGTCACTGTTATTATTTATTTAATTTTGAGGTGAGGTGTCAAACATGATAGCACATATTAATATTAATATAAATAATATGTTAATAATATATAAACATATATTAAAGTGCTCCAAGGGCACCTGGCTGGCTCTGTTGGTGGAGTGTAGGACTCTTAATCTCGAGGTTGTGGGTTCCTGCCCCACGTGGGGTGTAGAGATTACTTAAAAAAATAAAATCTTACAAAGAAATAAAGTACTCCAAAACCAGCTTTCACAATAGGAAACTTTTCCTTCCAACATAATCTTTTGGAGAATGTGATGAATGCTACGGAGCAGTGCCATCCATTGAAAATATAGTGCTAGTTACATAGGTAATTTTAAATATCTTAGTATGCACATAAAAAAGAAAATGGATGAAATTAATTTTATATATTTTATTCAAATATAAAAATCTTATTCCAACATGCAATTGATATAAAATTATTAATGAGGTATTTTACATCAAAATTTTCATCCTAAGACTTTGAAATTCAGAGTGCTTTTTTGAACTTCTATCACACCTCAGTTTAGGTAGTTAAGTTTTCAATGGGGAAGTGAAATGTAGTCCTACCCAAACAGTAAAGTTGTGTTTGACACAAATGCTACCCTGCTTCAGTTTTTAAATGTCAATTAAAAGTATATAAAACAAAAAATTCAGTGCCTTAGTCAAGTAGCCATATTTCAAACGTTCAAGAGCCACACATGGCTAGTGGCTACCGTTTTGGTCGGAGCAGTATTGGACTTTGTCCTCTAGAAGGCTGTTCTATACATCAAGGGGATTCATGGACCCCATGAAGTTCATCCTTGCTTTACACGCTCCTTGGTTAAAAATTGTCCTTTTCACTTTTTATAACCCAATTCACAGTTTTAAAAAGTCAACAAGTTACTTTCCATATATTCACTGCACATTATTTAAGTTTGTTTATGAATAAATTCCCTGGGATAAATCCAGCAACTTTACAGAAACTGAAGAGTGGGCTACTGATTTGTTGGACTTAGTAATGAGGATATACTGGTTGAACGGCTTTTGGCCCTTGCTCTCTATCACTGTCTTCTGGTATGACCACAGAATTTGACTTCTAGATATTCGGGTTACCGATTTTCACCTTCCTGACAAGCAAACTTCAGGGTCTGCCCTTCTCAGGGCACGAAAAGCTGTCTCCAAAAACCAGGCAGTAGTCGCTGGACTTGCATAACTAGGGATTTATCCAAAGCCCTCTTCTATTTTTAGCCAGAACAACTGCTTGCCAATTCAAAGTTTCTAGGGGAGAGAAATGCATCCATTACAAAACAGACACGAGGAGCATACCTTCGCCAGGTACTGCTCAAAAATCCCCTGACTACTGCCACCGAAACTCGGTAGCTCAATTGTTTTTCCTGCGCTGGCTTCAGCTCGCCTCAGCAAGCCCGCGCGCCTGACTCTTGCGTACCCTACTCCGCCCGCCTGGGGCAGCCCTGCCTGGCCGGGGGCGTGGCCGGGAGCGGAGGGGGGCGTGCCTCCGCCTGGGGGCGGGGTCGGGGAGTGCAAGCAGGCGGAAGTTCCCCGGGCTGTGGGGACGGCGCACGCACTCGGAATCACTTGTCAGCGCTCGTCTGAGGCAGAGGCAGCGCCTCGCCGGACTCGAGGTGAGTGACCGCCGGGCAGAGATGCGCGGCTCCTACAGCCCGAAGGGAGGAGGGGGAAAAGCGGTCTCCCTGCGCCCAGTGCGCGGAGGGAAGCCCGGCTGGGGAGCAGGAGGGGGCGCGCTTCGCGCGGGGACGGCTCCTCAGGTGCTTTCTGGAGCGGCGGAGGTGAGAGAGCCGCGTGGGAAGAGGAGCTCCCGGGAAAGGGCGGCGCGGGAGTGGGCGCAAGGCCAGAGGACGAGCACTGGAAGTTCCCGGAGCTCGGGTCGGCCGGGACGTGGCGCTCCCGGGCACCCCCGCAGCGACCCGCCGGCCAGCCAGCTGCCGGGAGTCGCCGGGCGTCGCCGGGCACCTACTTTGCCATCTGGGTACACCCACGTCCTGCAGGAACCTCTTTGGGGTGTAGGGAGCGGGACTAAACGGGAAAGGCGTGTTGTTTTTTTGTTGGCTTTCGCCCTACTGAGAAGTGTTTATTTCCCCCCCAGCTATTTAAAATTGTGTACCTGTTTGGGGAAACAGCCGTGCGACCAGAAATAAAGCTTGTTTAAAAAAATCTGTCATAATCTACAGATTTATTAATACTTGAGTACTTGTTGGGACTTTTGTAAGACTCCCTTCAGTGCATTTGACAATAAGTGGAAAAAGGAAGGGCGTCTGGACAGGGCAGAGCTAGGAAAGAAAATTCGTGGCTGCGTCGGGCAGGGCAGGTCTCGGGTGTGATCGCCAGATCCTATCCCAAGTCCGCCTTCCCGACCGTGGGGACGTCGGACCTGCCAGCCACGGAAATAGCCCGCTCCGGAGCCTTATTTGGCGAACAGGGCTAGGCGTGAACCTCTGCTGGAAAAATGTCTTGTCGACTGCTTTCATCATGTGCCTGTGGCTTTAGTTCTTCAGCTCTACTCCATTATCTCCCAATTTGGGGAAAAAGAGAATCTCAAGATACTGCTCGTTAATTTCAGACCCTTCTTGCCACTGAGTTCTCCTTTCCCTCTTCCCACTCACCGAAAAAGCCGGGATAGAAGTGTGGGAAATACCAAGCTTCCTTCCCAAATATTAAAGCGAAGACATTGTTTCTAGACTTTCCCTAAAAGAAAATCCCAAACCGTACGGAAGTCCAACATTTTCTTCGTGTTTAAAGCAGAATAGGCTGCTCACTATTTCCTGCTTCCTTAGGAGGAGTTTGGGCACTAAGAACCAGATGGGGGAGACCTGGAAAAAGCCAATAATAATACTGCCATTACTTAGGGATCAGAATGTCTTAAGGCAAACGAAGCTAGCAGAGGGAGAATACTAGAAATGAAATGACACTGGTTCTGTAGTGTGGCTGTGACCTTGCCAGTGCTAGAAATTTTAATAAGATAAATCGGGAAGGAAACTCCCAAGTAAAGGGAAGTTGTACGTACATGGCTTGATATATAAATTACATACATTTTCTTATAGGGAACAGTGGGTCCAGAGTAAGTTGAGCCTAACTCTCACATTGTTCTCTTGATACAGGTTAAAGATTAAAAAAGGAGGGGGCAGACTGCCTCGGAAATATCTGTTGGCTTTACACGCTTCTGATTTATATCATATAATACCGACGTCAGAACAATCTTTCTTTAGTAGTTCTATGAAAATCTTTTATTACAGTGGGAAAGCAATTAAATTATGTGTGGTTCTTAATTATCTTTCTGTTATTTGTTGTTCATGTGTACCTAACAGTTTGACTTCTGGCATGGCCAGTAGGTCTTTTTGGTGCCCTATGTGTATTACATCAGTACTGAATATGTATTACCATGCCAGTGGAAAAGCTCATCTCATTTTTGGTGCAGTACAGATTTTCACCGGTTTAATTTTTCTTTAAGGACCAGACTTGAAAGTTTTGCCTCATTTTCCCCTTATAAGAAGTTACATCTTCTGTTTGTTTTTAATGTGCCCAATGATTCACATACCTACATGTGCCAATATTAATTTGGTGTAATGGGATCAAAGTTTTGAATGGGTTAAAAAAATGGAAAAATATTTTAAGACAGGTAATAATATAAGGTGGTGATTTAGTCCAACAGCATAGATTTTCCAAGGAAGTGTGTCTTCAACAGTTTTCTTTTAAAATGTGGTTTTAAAATTATTAAATTATACATCCACTATATTTTTAATATTTTTAAAGGGGGGAAATAATATGTTTCTTTAACATTACATTTTAGAAAATATCCATTTCTCCCAATTTCTCCCACTACACATAATCAATCATACCGACCAATACAAAACTCAAAGTAAAACCATGAGAGTCATTATGAGTGCACTTACAGCAAAACAAAAAAGATAACACTGAAGTGCTGCTGCTTTTCTAAGGCTCCCGTTCCCTTTCATGCATTAAGATTCACCTTATATTCCTACCCCATTTGGTCATCTCACTCACTGTGTGGTTAATGCTCATTCTTTACTTTGCCTGATGTGGTGTGTGTATAAAACAAGAAGCAGGTTCTCACTGAAATATCACTGTGCTAGACTAGTGCCTATCATTGCCTGTCTAAAGGAAAAGTAAATATTGCTCTGTGTCGAAAATACCATGTCCCTATGAGAGGAAATACAAGTTGTAGTTGATGATTGGAGAGAATAGTTTTGTGTATTAAAAAACAACTTACTTTAAAAAAATTATGTATGTGGAATGAGAGTCTACAGATATGCAGTCCTTCCATATTGGAGAGTAGCTTAGAATTTAAGGACTCTTACCAACTGCAGGCTAAAGAATGCATGAGGTAGAGGGAAGGGGAAAATCATTTTGAATTAAACCTGAAATGAAATCTTGTTCTTTCTTCTCTGTATAGTGAAGTGTTGTAAAGTACTTTGAGTTAAAGTTTGTATGCAAGAAGCCACAAATTGTACTGTAGCAAGTTATAAAACTGATCAAGTGTCTAGAAATAGATGCTGATATGGAATTTTTAGATTATGGAAATTGGCATCAGTTTAGAAATTGTATATTAGCTCATAGATTCCTTTTCCTGAAAAGACTGCTGTCAGAACTTAATGTAGACTTATCCTCTGTATCTTCATCCCCCCGAACAAAATATTGAACATAATTTAGTTGAGTTTATATTAAATACTTTTAAATATGTGATAAGGCTTCAAATAAACATTTTGTTAACCATCTAATTTTCTTTCACAGTTTCTTTCATTTTCTGGGATTGGACTTTGAGCTATTAGAGCCATGAGCAACTACAGTGTGTCCTTGGTTGGCCCAGCTCCTTGGGGTTTCCGGCTGCAAGGTGGCAAGGATTTCAACATGCCTCTGACAATCTCTAGTGTAAGCAAACTTCACAGATTTTATTACAGATGTTCATTCAATGCTTAAGTCTTGGAAACCTCAGGGCTGAGTTGTTGAATTCTCTGGATAACCTGTACTTATTACAGTTGCTTATGGGATTTAATCTCAGCAAACTTAGTTATGTATAATAAAGGATGTGGAGGGGAGGGAATTTAACAAGGATAATCGATTTCAATTAAGCTTATTTTCAGTTTCCCCCATCTTATTAATCAAGAAATGGAAAGCATTTAACTAAGGGGCAGACTTCACATCTTTGAACTGTCACTCATTTGGGGAATCTGGACCTTAGTTTCTTCATATGTAATATTAGAAAGCTGCATAAGGGGATTTTCATTGTTCCTTTCAGCTCCAGAAGCTGTTAATTAAAAACTGTTGATCAATATCAAATAAAATCACTGTTTTTGGTGTTGTTTCCTCAGCTCACTTTCTGGTGAAGGTGATAGTCAACAGTAAAATTGCCAAAGGCTGCTTATCTTTGAAGAGGGATTGAGGGCTTGGATCTCCTAGATAGTTTATAAATAATTGAGATTTGGTTGTTTACCTCATTATGGATTTAGTTTGAATGTATTCTGTGTATACAGTTTGAGGATATATTTTCATGATGATGATTATGTTTTTTGAGGCTTGACTATGTGTCAAGCACCATTTCACTTTCTTCTTGCTATTAATTGCTTGTATAATGTTCCAGAGGGCTTTTTTTTTCATGGTCAAATAAATATGAATATCCACTCCCCTTTTACTTACATGATAGCATGTTATATATGTTGCTCTGTGTCCTTTTTTCTCAATAATTTATCATGGAAAACTTTCCCTCGAGGTTTTTTGTTTTTGTTTTTAACAACTATGTAGAATTCTCTTGTAGGGAAGTAGCATTTATTTAGCCAGTCTCCTGTGGAAAGGCATTTATATCATTTCCAGTATCGCTATTACAAACAGTGCTGTAGTGGATACCATATATACATAATTTTTTATGTATATGTATAAACACGTACAGTTGACTCGAACGATACAGATTTGAACTGTGCAGGTCCACTTACACAGGGATTTTTTTTCAATAAATATATATACAATTCTGTAAATGTATTTTCTCTTCCTTATGATTTTCTTTTTTCTTTTTTTTTTAGATTTATTTATTTATTTTAAAGAGCGTGCGAGAGAGAACACAGGCGGGCGTGGGGAGGGGCAGAGGGAAAGGAGAGAATCTCAGGCGGAATCCCCTCTGCATATGGAGCCTGATGCAGGGTTTGATCTCAAGACCCTGACATCATGACCTGAGCCAAAGTCAGGTTGATTTACTTAACATTTTCTTTTTTCTAGTTTACTGTATGGTAAAATACGGTATATATAACATACAAAATACGTGTTAATAGACTGTTTATGTTATCGGTAAGGTTTTCAGTGAACAGTAGGCTATTAGTATAGTTAAATTTTGGGGCAGTCAAAAGAAATACATGGATTTTTGACTGTATGGGGAAGTCAGTGCCCCAACCCTCATGCTGTTCAAGAGTCAACTGTATATGTGTGTGTGTATATATATATGTGTGTATATATATATGTATATATATATATACACACACACATGTATATGGACACATACATATACAGTTTCGATAGATTGTACCAATTTACACTTCTGCGCAATGCACAAAAATTCACAATGCACCTCCAATTCTCACCCCCTCAACAGCCTTGCCAGCAGACTTTTGGATTTTTGCCAGTTGCTTTGGGTGCATCATCTCATTTAATTCTCATGTCAACCTGTGAAACAGTGGTACTGTGCCCATTGTACAAAACTGTGCTATGAGCTCAAATGGCTGGTGTGGAAGAACTGGCTTTCAAGCATTTATGTTATGCTACTTCCCTAATGATAAATTTTATCTATAGATTGTTTCTTTAATTAGGTTTTTTTCTCTAATCAGGTATTTCGGAGGCTGTTTTAATTATACACATACATACACACACTGCTTCTTACTATATATACACACAACTTGATTTTGAAAGATTAAGTTTGTAACACATGAAAATCTCTGCTGAAATACAGCTAATCCCTGTTTACTAATGGAGTTTTCCTTGTTTCTTGGCTGTGGATTTTTTAAACAGTTAACTTTATTTTACTTTATTTTTGTTTATTTTATTATTTTTTTTAAAGATTTTATTTATTTGACAGAGAGAGACACAGCGAGAGAGGGAACACAAGCAGGGGGGGTGGGAGAGGGAGAAGCAGGCTTCCCGCTGAGCAGGGAGCCCCATGCGGGGCTTGATCCCAGGATCCTGGGATCATGACCTGAGCCGAAGGCAGACATTTAATGACTGAGCCACCCAGGCACCCCTATTTTATTTTATTTTTAAACAGTTAGCTTTAATTTACCACCAATTTCTGTCTTGATTCCAGTTAATCAGATTTTATAAGGAAATTCATAGATATAATCCGGCCTCTAAGTTTTAAGACTTCATGGTTGGGTGAAATTTAAAATGGAAAGCATCCATGTGAAAATGTGTCTTGTGATTTATTCCTGTTTGAACAAGGCAATATTTTTCTCTTACTGAAGGTCTTTTATGAAGAAAGGAATGATATTTTAGTATTGTCTTGTTTTTATGTTCTTTTAACATTATTTATATTAAGTTTGAATATCTTACTTTATAAATGGATTACAGAAGTTATTGTTTAGTTTAAAATGCATCCATTTTTGCTGGGGAAAAAGTCCAGAAACAAATTGACACTTAATGAAACAAACTAAAACATCACTTTGTTGTTTGGTAACAAAAATGCAAATGTAATGTGTAAATTTTGTGGTATCATGCCTTTAAAAGAGTTTTCTGTGCCTTAGTTCCCTGGCAGACAGTTTGAGGCCTAGCTCCATGTTGTGATGCTGATACAACAGAACACTGTGTACATACATATGTGCCCTCCCCTGGCACAGAAGAAATGCTTTCCTTGTGTAGACAGAGTGCTAATTAAAGGATTTTGAACATACTGATTAAAAGAGACTACGGTAACAAAGCTGCTGAGTTATTTCTGTTCTCTTACAAAAGTCTCTGCCATCTCCTGTGACCTTTTTGGGCCTTGTGCAGTGGGGCATGCAATTCATTCTGGACTGGAGAGGATGGGAAGGGGAGGGGAGGAGAGAAGGGAATGTTGGCTCAACTGTGCTGCTAGGCTGGTGGCTTTCATTGTAAGTTACTTTTAACCCCTTGTGTGTTTCAGTTCAGACATGCCTAGTAACATTGCCTAATAAAGATGTGTGCCTAATAACTAATTCATATTGTTGTAGTAAGAGTGGTAATGTCATGCCTCATCTTACTTATTTCTCTAGTTATATTTATTTTGCCTTAATTATGTAAAATCATCGGGATATATTTTTGTGGTCATTAATTGTTTAATAGTGTCAAGGAGTAATTAAAACTTGACAGCATGCCTTAAAACATATAATTTAGTAATTCTTTTATATTAATGTTATGTATGAAATTCTTAGCAGGGTCTGGCACATTGTATTCTCTTAGCTCTTATTTTTTTTACAACAATATTATATTAAAAAGAAAAAATATTTTGAGACTTGAAATATCAAATACCCCATAATTGTGGGTAATGTAGGAGTTATATTTTTTTACTTAAGAGTCTACTGGAATTGAAAAAGAAAAAAAAAAATCACAAGTTTGTGCTTAGCTGGGAAGCTGCATGTTTATGTTTAGAGTTCAAAAGCATCCAGTTTTTCCTCTGGTCAGGTATCGCTGTGTCGAACTCCATAGGGCTATTTACGTTCCCTTCTAACATTGGAACTCTGTGACAGCAAATGTATTTGTGATAAGTAGGCCATTGGCTGGGACTTGAACATTCTGTTTTCCTGAGATTTTGTTGTTACTAGCATGTGAATATGCTGGATATGACTTTGTGTATTAAAGCATGCAAACTGTATAATTTTTTTTTTTGCAAACTGTACAGTATTTAACATTTCACACAGATTTACCCATTATCTATAGTGTACAGATTTTACATTCTTTTTTAATAGGTGGGTTTCTAAGACAAAATTGGTAATTCCTGCAAACTTTTAAAAAGATCCTTAGATTACTGTGACTATATAATCACATGTCATTGTCTTCAGTTTCCTATTCTTAAAATGGAGTACTGGCTAACAGAGTTTGTAGGCTGCCTTTTTATGACCCTGTATTTATGGAATTGCCTTGAAGCCATGGAATGTGAGGATGGGTTTCATTGTAGCAGTGTGGGTTATTGGTCTTTGCCAGTATATTTTATAAGAAGAAATAGACTTTTTGCACAATTCAAGGCCATATTTTGGTAAGTTGATGTTCCTCATGATGGAATTACAGGAAGGATGATATATTTGTGAATAATATCTTTTAAGTATGGCATCCTAAAGTTGAAGTCTCTGTTGTGTGTTGTTTTCTGATTTATGATGTTAGAGTTTTTTCCTTAAAATGTTAGTATTTGAATTTCCTGAAGATGAGCTCCCAGTTCTCCATAAAACATCTACATTGTTTCTTTAGCAGATAAGAATGAGGCCAGATATTTTAATACAAATTAAATTAATATTAGTACAGATGATGATTTTGATTCTCAAGAGTTAGGAGAGGATTAGTTGTTACCAACTAGGACAAGATTTTAGTTGGATTTGAAAAGCAAAGGAAATTTACTATTTTCTGGAGTATGGAGCTTGGCTTGGGAGTGTAAGACAGAACAGAGAGAAGACAGCTGTGAAACATTTTGCCAAGAATTCATTTATTCAGCAATTATAGGAATACTTCCTAGAAACCATTTAAGAAGATACAAAGTATTGGGGGGTACAGAGGTTGGGGAGAAAAGAAATAAGTATAGTACTAGACATCGTCATAAGACCTATCACACAAGACATTTGATGAAATTACAAAGATACAGATAAGTGTTTCTCAGTTTCAGTGGGCTTTTGTATTCGTGGGGTTGGCTTCCTGCAGGAGAAATTAATTGAAATGATGCTGGAAGGATG